ACACGAGACTTTATTTGGGACTTTTGGACTTTTTTTTACAATTTTGGTGTTCTAATTTTTTGGTCTACGTTTTATTATAGACTACATGTCTGCTAAAAAGAAAAAAAATCACAAAACATATAAATTAATTGGTTTACGTGAAAGTTATAGCATCTACAAATAGTGGTATATATACTGGAATATTTTTTTTAATACTACTAATGGTGGCAAGCATCGTGCATTCTGACACTTTGGGGGAACTGACTAACTGTCACTGACATCCCAATGACACCAATACAGTAATCAGTGTTAATAAAATGCACTGACACTGGGCAGGAAGGAGTTAACATCTGGGGCGATCAAGGGGTTAACTGTGTGCTGTTTTCCTATGTGGGCTGTGTGTGTACTTTACACTGTAAGCGTGCAGCTTTGTTTGGCTCTGCTATGCAGAGCCAAACAAAGCAGGTTACAGGAGCTGACAGGGGAGAGATCTGTATTGCATACATACAGGTCTCTCCCCCACTGGTGATAAACGGCAATTGCTAGGTGCCAGCGGAGAATCACCGTCCGGGACCTGGTGATCGACAGGTTAAGTCGCCAATGGCGGCGCGGGGTAGGGCGCGCGCCCCCTACCCGGAAATGCAAAATCACGTATATATACGTGATTTTGCACACCCCTGCCACCCTGTAGCAGTATTTCTGTTATAGGGCATCGGGAAAGCCGTTAAAGACTAAAATTAATATAATACATACATTCCTGCAAACACAAAGGGGGTTATTTACTAAAACTGGAGAGTGCAAAAGCTGGGCAACTCTGCATAGAAACCAATCAGCTTAAAGGTTTTATTGCCAAACTTAACTGAACAAGCTGAAGATAGAAGCTGATTGGCTACCATGCACAGCTGTACCGTATTCTGAGTGCTACATTTTTAGTAAATCTCTCCCAAAATGTACCAAAGACACACAAACATAAGAACCCCTTTTCCTAACACATTTTAGGTATAGCTGCACATTGGGGGTTTAAGAATAATTTTAAGGGCATAATTTGTAAAAACATGAAACAGATGACAAAAACAAATTCTGGTCCCTATTTACAGTTTTGCACTTTTCAACTTTTTGTTTCAGAAAAATGCCTAATATTTGCTTTTAACTTTGTACAGTTTTATCTATTTAAGTCAATATTTTAGAGGTGATCATGTACTTGTGTGCACTAATAACAATTTTATTGTATTTTTATGATAATGAAAATATAATTGATGAACACCTGCACAAACTATCGTGGGACATGCAAAATCAGCATTAACATCTGTTAATTCTATAACTCCTGCACTATTAGAAAATATATGGTTTGTTCTCTTTTGCAATTTTAGGCCCCTAATTTGCATCTGGAAAAAAAGCAAAATGATCCAGCCATCTGATCAAGCAGTGTGTGATAGCAAAGGGTTAACCCTCAAATGTCTGTTTAGATTTTAAAGTGTTCAGATCTTTTTGAGCAGTTACACGTCTGTAGTGGTTTCCTGTTTTATGAGTCTTTATCAATGGCTAAAATGGAGCTAATCCTGCTTGGCAGCCAACTCCTGGGAGGAGTGATAATGCCCCAATAATTGTGTTAGATTAGGAGCATGTTTTGTTTGCAAAAGGAGCTCATACTGTACACTGTCCATTAAAAAATCTAGCACCTATTTAATGTTGTCTGTTTCTAAGCATTTGCACTGATATTCATTTGTACTAAGCAAATGTCAAAGCCCATTTCATCATTCCTAATCTACTAGATGAACAGTTGTTTCTCATTACTGTCTTTTTGCTCTCTTTGTGTTTTTTGGTCGTGGTAAAAAGGGATATGATTCTTGATTTTTCTTTTTTAAGCTCTGCGGTGCAGTGAGCACACACAAAACTATACACTAGGTACATAAAAGCACACAAAAAAAGCATACAGGGTGTACACATGATCCTCCTCTGAAGAGAGAGAACCCTGGCCCTGTTCCCTGGGGCGCAAGGCTTCTGACAGGGACTGGGGTACTCGTGGTCCACCCCAACCAGACGGACCCCTTTCTTTGGGAGACCATTGCAAGAGATCTCCTTCCTGCTGAATGTTTCATTACAGACATTTCAGTAGGAGATGTAGAATTCTCCTTTCTGCATAAGCAATGGTTAAACACCATAATGGGGGTAATAGATGAATACTTGGATAATGAAATCCCATTGCTGGAATCCTGTACAACTAGGAACTAAATATGTAGTCATGGACTTTTGAGGACATATAGAAGAGAAACATGGACTTTTGTACGGACATACAGAAGAGAAACATGGACTTTTGTACGGACATATAGAAGAGAAACATGGACTTTTGTACGGACATATAGAAGAGAAACGTGGACTTTTGTACGGACATATAGAAGATAAACTTTGACTTTTGTGCGGCCATATAGAAGAGAAACGTGGACTTTTGTACGGACATATAGAAGAGAAACGTGGACTTTTGTACGGACATATAGAAGAGAAACATGGACTTTTGTGCGGCCATATAGAATAGAAACATGGACTTTTGTACGGACATATAGAAGAGAAACGTGGACTTTTGTACGGACATATAGAAGAGAAACATGGACTTTTGTACGGACATATAGAAGAGAAAACATGGACTTTTGTACGGACATATAGACGAGAAACCACTTTATTATGTACCATTAAAAATCTATTACATTAAAAACTACTCTCCACATAGGAGTTCACAACATGCAAAGATTCTGATTACAATTCACATGTGGACTCGACGCGTTTCAGGAATTTTTCAGGAGCACATGTGACAGAATCAGTACACTGCAACCCACTTCTAATCTTAATATCAATCAGTAGGGTAGACTGGAATTCATAGCATGTTGCCCATTGAGGTGCAAATGAGTAGACCAAGGTGAAGCCGCTGCCTCTCGAGTAGGAAATTCAGATACATTTGGTAAACAGCCAATGGTCTTATATACATAATCTTAAAATAGAAGGGCCAACTTCCCAATGGGGAACCATCAAGACCGAATATAAGTAAGTCATCATAAAGACAGCAAGGGGGCTCTTGATAAGCATCTTAGAAACAACCTCAGTTCACATTATTATTAATATTATTATTATTATTATACAGGATTTATATAGCACCAACAGTTTGCTCAGCACTTTACAATATAACGGAAGACAATACAGTTCAATACAAGAGGGATAGGAGGGCCCTGCTCCTTGGAGCTTACAATCTAAGAAATCCACCCTGTAACCACTGTTGGAATTCCTGAGAAAAATAAGAAACTGAGTAAATTTTGAGTACACTGAATTGTTTCCGTATTACCCCCATAATGGTGTTTCACCCTTCATGATGCAGAAAGGAGATCTCTTGCAATGGTTTTATTCACATTTGTGCAGAGACCTTGTCACCAGATCCCCTGATAATTATATGAAAGAAGTTGGTGATGCATCCTACTGACATCAATACAAGACTACAGGATCAGTTCTGAGTAAACTGATTAACCACATCAGTTTTCACACCCAGACCAGAGAAATGTTTACATATTTTAGCTATGGGCCTATGGATTTGGGAATAACCTTGTTGTCATTACTTGTGATACTAAATTCTACATTTTTTTTTAACAAACAAGTCTTTCTTTTGTATGCAATGGTTTGACCAGTAACAGTTCTAAAATGCTTCTCTCAGTATAAATAAAAAGTGCAAATACCTTTTTATATAATTTGTCCCATTTATAATATTAGAATTCACTCTCTGGTACACAGCATGGTAAATTTAGTTATCAAATAAGTAAGGTGGCTCTTTAAATTGTTTTTCTTTTTCATTTTTTGCAAAATCCAAGATTATATATCTATATATTTTTTTTTTATTTTATACTACATGGTAAGAAAAAAATAAACAGAAAATTTTGTTTCTTTTAAATTTTTTTTGCAAAATCCAAGATTTTAAAGAAAAATTCAAGAACAAAAGATATATATATATATATATATATATATATATAATTTTTTTTTTTATTATATTATATGCGCAGGAGGAGTTGTTGCATTTGTGGTACTTCTTTATTTCCTCCTGTCTCATCTTTAGCTCCTTCCTTGCATCCTCTACACACCACACATTCTACATTCATCTGCCAATCACACAGATACCTAAGTTCATTCTAGTTTATCCAAGACATGTCAACATCTATCCTACAAACAGGAAATATTTACCTTACTCATCATGTCTCCCCCCCCCCCCCCCCCCAGTTAACCCCCTTATATGACTAAACTGGTTGATAAATAATGTTTTTTTAGTTGGAATTTTCATTTTGCGCTACGCCACGCTATATCACCTGTTTGCATTTTTTCTAAAAACGTAATTAAAACATTGAAAAAGAACTATAAAGTGTTCATATGCTTTTTCTGTAGATGACCTTGAGCCCGGGTTCACATTGATGCGATGCGGAATTCGCAGCAGTTTCTATGCAAATTCCGCACCGAATCACAATCGCACCCCATTGTGAATAATAAAAAACATTGAAACAGAACTATAAGGGTTCATATACTTTTTCTGTAGATGACCTTGAGCCTGGGTTCACACTGATGCGGTGTGGAATTCACAGCAGTCTCTGCGCAAATTCCGCACTGACTCACAATCGCACCCCGTTCATGCAAACTACTGCGACTGTGTATGTTAACAACACCTCGAAATTGTTCCGCAAATGCGGTGCAATCTGCAATGTGAACACCCATGCGATCTGATTCTAGTGCAGACCAAAAAAAAAGGATCCTACACCTTTTTGGTGCGGATGCGGTGCGATTTGAGCCATACAAAATGTATGGCTAAAATCGCACTGCACAGAAGTCGCATGTGATATGCACATGAATGTGGTGCCGTTCCTGTGCGAATCACATGCGATGTTCTGCACCGTGCAAGTGTGAACCCGGGCTTAATGTCTAAATCATTTTTGTGATTTTATGTTTGAAACCATTCATACAAACATTCTGAAACTTTTTAGAGGGCTACAAACCTTTTCTTAACCACCTCCCGTCCGGCCGTTGTATGTAAACGGCCGGATGGTGGCAGTGCAGGGTCAGGTGGCCGTTTATAAACCGCCTCCCCGCACCCTGCTCCCCCCTGCACCCTGTTTGTGCGCGCTCCCTGGGAGCGTGCAGCACCGCGATCCGGTGGCCACTGTGTCCTCCGGTAGTAGTAACTTCTGACATCATTGCTTACTACTTGTGAAATCTGTGAATGATCACAGAGGTCACACAGAAAAGGCTATTCACAACAGCCTTGTACCATGTGACAAGCTGTGACCAATCACAGCTCACTCAGTAGTTCTCAATGGATGCAAGAATGCAGCCAGAGAGAAGGAGAAATGATTGCTTTTACAGCCTTTATGGATGTAAAAGCAAACCGTGTAAAAAAAAAAAATAAATCTTCATCACCCCCTCTAGTACAGTGTCACCATGGTGACATGTATGTAAAAAAAAACCCATAAATAATAATATAAAAAAAAAATGTTTAAAAAATGTTTAAAAATTATAATTTTGGTTATAAACTAATTTGTTTTTTTTTTGTTTTGTTTTTTTACTAAAAAAATAACGGAATACATTTTGGCCAATATTTATGATGAAATATTATTTATTTGCAAAATTTTATAAGAACACTTTTTTCAAAATGTTTGGACTTTTTCATTTACATAGCAAAAAAAAATAAAATTCCCAGTGGTGAATAAATACCACCAAAATAAAGCGTTTGTCTCAAAAAAATGCTAAAAAATTCATATGGGTACAGTGTTGCATGACCGCGCAATTGTCATTCAAAGTGTGATCGCGCTGAAAGCTGAAAATTGGCCTGGACAGGAAGGGGGTGAAAGTGTCCGGACTGGAAGTGGTTAAACTGTAGTGTGTCAGTGCTGTAGACTTCACAGGTGTGTCACATAACTTACTAACACACCCTTGTGTAAAATGTATCTGATAAATGCCAAACATGAACAAATAACCTGAAATTCATAGACAGTTTGCTTGTAAATTTAACATTAACCACTTGCCCTCCAGAGGATTTACCCCCCTTCCTGACCAGGCCATTTTTTGCGATACGGCGCTGCGTTACTTTAACTGACAATTGCGCAGTAATGCGACGCTGCACCCAAATTAAATTTATGTTCTTTGTTTCCCACAATTATAGATTTCGTTCAATGGTATTTGATCACATGTGCGTTTTTTATTTTTTGTGCCATAAACAAAAAGAGACTTCCAATTTTGAACAAAAAAACAGTATCTTTGACTTTTTGCTATTAAACATGTCCAGTAAAAATTTTTAAAAAAATAAAGTTTCATCATAAATTTAGACCAAAATGTATTCTGCTACGTCTTTGCTAAAAAAAAAAAAAATCCCAATACGTGTAAATTAATTGGTTTACATGAAAGTTATAGCATCTAATGGTGGTATATATACTGGATTTTTTTTTTTATATATACTAGTAATGGCGGTAATCAGCAACTTATAGCGGGACTGCAGCGGGCATTCTGACACTGGGGGGGAACTGACTAACTGCCACTGACATCGCCAGTGAGACTAATACAGTGATCTGTGCTAATAAAAAGCACTGACACTGTACTAATGACAATGGGCAGGAAGGGGTTAACCTTTGGGCTATCAAAGGGTTAACTGTGTGTTTTGTATATTTTACTAGGGAGGCATGCTGTTTTGTATCTCTCTGCTATGCAGAAATAGCATGTCCATGCTGACAGGGGAGAGACCTGTGTTGTTTATACACAGGCCTCTCCCCTATCAGCGTTACATGGCGATCGCAAAGTGCCAGCTGGGATCTGGTGATTGACATCCCTAGCCACCAATAGCGGCGCAGGTAGGGTGGCACGTATGCTTGCGCCCCCTACCTGGCAATGCAAATCACGTATGTATACGTGATCCCAGCCACGGCACCACCTGCCTGGAGTTTGCATGTTCTCCCCTGTGGCAGCGTGGGTTTCCTCTGGGTACTCCGGTTTCCTCCCACACTCCAAAGACATGCTGGTAGGTTAATTGGATCCTGTCTAAATTGGCCCTAATATGTGTGTGTATGTATGAATGTAAGGTAGGTACTTTAGATTGTATACCCCCTGAGGGTTAGGGACTAATGTGAATGTACAATATACTGTATATGTAAAGCACTGTGTAAAATGACGGTGCTATATAAGTACCTGAAATAAATAAATAATATACGTGATTTTGCACAGCCCTGCTGCCCTGTAGCCGTACTTCTACTATAGGACGGCAGGCAACCAACATTGACTGTTTTTACTCCTTGTGCTGCTACCATTAGTAAATAGATAGGAAAGTGTATGAATGTTGGGGAATGCTAATCTTACCGGAGTTTGGTTTTAAATAAAAAGGACAAATACAGGTTTGTTTTTTTTTTGCAAGATGACTGAAAACATATGCTTAAAGCGGAGCTCCACCCAAAAGGGGAAGTTCCTCCTTAAGGACTGCTCCCCACTTCCCATTAAGGATTGGCACCTTTTGGGGGGCGGGGGGGCGTGTACCCGAATTTGACAGATACCCGCTCCCACTTCCGGTCCGATCGCCTAGGCAGCCGGAAGCGGAAGGTGTCCTCCCTCCCTGTAGTCTTTTGGGACACGTGACAGGTCCCAGAAGACTACAGGACCATTCAGGCAGTGCAGCACTACTCGCGCATGCGCAGTGGGTACCCGGCTGTGAAGCCGCAAGCTATCACAGCCGGGTGCCCACACGGAAGATGCTGGCCTCCTGGAATACAGGACAGCCAGTGAAACAGGCTGCAGGGGACATACTGCTGGACCGTGGGACAGGTAAGTGGCTGTTTTTTTAAAAGTCAGCTACAGTTTTTGTAGCTGCTGACTTTTATTTTTTTGACAGGGTGAGTGGAACTCCGCTTTACACATCGTCAGTGCTTGGGCAATGATTTTATCTTCCTTGTTTTAGTAGACTTAGGACTCAGAGTTAAATTTCCACGGCAGAGTTTGTTTTCAGCAACTGAACTGTGATGAAAATGTTGGAACCTTGACCTCCGTCACGTGGCAGCCAACCAAATATGATGCTATTCTCTGTTATAAACATACATACAATTGTGTTTAGTCTCATGGAAGAAAGTCGTTTTTCTCTTTTCAGATTCTGTTGGTCTAAAAATAAGTGGCTTTGCGGGGTGATTTTAATCTCTTTAATTCCTTTTTTTTTTATTGGCTGGTACTTTATTTACAGCACATTGAGAGGTTAAAGGAAACCAATACTGAGAGAAACATAGGCAGGCATTGCTGGCCTCTCCATCTGAAAATGGTTGTCATACTAATTTAAAAATTAATGTCATTTCAGGGTCAATTATGGCTGATTTACTAAAGGAGCTAATCTTCACACAATAAATAGTACAAATATTTACTTCCTTAACCTCCCTAGCGGTCTGATTATGTCCATATTTCTGCGCTCAAAGCGGTACATTTCTTTGCATGGAAATATGTTGTTTTTTTATTGTAGGTCTGTACTTTTTAGGAATAACTCACTGAAATCTGTCCGAACAAGAGTCTAGTAAACATCCCGGGTGTGATACAATATGAAACACAAAATCATAAATTATAATATAATAAATAATCCTAAAAAATAATAATATAATAATAAAATTCAGTAATATAATCAAACCAAAAACACTGAAATTTGAAATATAGCGCCAAGTTCGCACATCGCTGAGTTCATACGCAAAATCGTTTTCAGTGGCTGATGACAAATTTCCCCACGAATCATTATCACTCAATTCTGCAAGTGGTTCTAATTTACTATCGCTGTTCTCTAGCCGGTCTAAAACCGCTTTTGACCTAAAGGGACGCTTTTTGGACGCCATGGACATTTTCTCAGTTTCCAGACAGAAAGAACAGTAAAAATGCAGGCAGGGGCACAGGACAAAGCACTAGGGACAAAATGTATGTGAAATGGTTTGATACAGTAATGTTTTACTATGTGACTTTAGTGTATTGAGTGAATGTTACTTTTAAAAATTTTTTAATCTCCTGCCGGTTCTGTCCCCCGTACGTCTCGACGCTCGCAGGGAACGGAACCCGGAAGATGGATGCCGACATTGGCCGGAGAAGATGGCCGGGGACACTGCAGGGGGGACATCGCGGGAGCGCAGGACAAGGTAAGAGCAAGAGGGAATCCCTCAGCAACGCTGCAGGGCAATTCCGTGCATAGCTCGGGGTTACCGCTTTTGATACTGAAACTTTACCCCGAGCTACACTCGGGAATACCGCCTGGGGGTTAATGCAGAGATCCTGCCCCCCCCCCCAAAAAAAAAGTTAATAAAAGTCACCTGCTACAAATACTGTAGCTGCTGGCTTTTAATATTAGGGCACTTACCTGTCCAGGAATCCAGTGATATCCTCATCCCGAGCCGATTCTTCAATTGGCTTTCGGGTGTTGGCGTTGCCATCTTGACTAAGGGAAACCGCCAGTGAAGCCTTTGCGGCTTCCTTCTGTGCATGCATGAAGCATGCTGTGCTTTGTTAAAGGGCGGCAGTCCCCTGCGACCTGTGAAGTGTCCCAGAGGGCTGTGGGGGGGGGCGGTGAACTTCTGTCTCCATTCACTGCAGCGAAGTGAAGCGGGTACTGGTCGAAACCAGGTACCCACTTCCCCCTAAAGATGGCAAATGTGGCAGCGGAGAGGGGGAGGCAGATAAGCGGAGCTCCCACTTTTTGGTGGAACTCCGCTTTAAAGAAAAAGGTCACATACAGATACAGAGCCCTGTACAGCTTGAAGAGCTTTTTATTTATCCTTTGGGAGTGGTGTGGAGTTGCATGCAGGCAGCCTGAATAAGTGAATGGCTGTACACAGAGACAGGTGCATAGTCCCAAATGCAGACAATGTGTTTCAGGCCGTGCACCCTTCCCTGTTAAACTCAGATGTGTTGGTTAGTCCATTCAGTCGCTTTATACCCATTCATTTATATAAAACTGCCTGCACACAGCCCCAAACTACTCCAAAGAGATAAATGGCTGCTCTTGCACAGGGCTCTGTGCCTGTGTAAGTGAAGCCTAAGGCTCCAATCACACTCGTGCACTCGTGCGACTTGTCATGCAGTTTCGGACACACACGGTCTCATAACAAGTGGCACCCCATGTATTTCAATAGAAGCCATTCAAATCTATGCAACCTAAACACTTTAGAAAGATTCCTG